CGTACAAATAAGGTAAACTAATAATGCTTAGACTCTAACAATATTATGTTAATAGATTTGATGTCAGATCATTATGATCCAAATTTGATCCAACTTCTTTAATATATTGAAATTCAATTTTTAAAGGAAAATAGGAGAAAATTCAAGAGGAGAAGCTTAAATTAATTTAAAATGATAGAAAATTAATATAAGGAATTACATTTTGTCAAGTAATTTCATAATTTTGATAAATAAACGAAATCTCAAGTCATTTTGTAGGTATTCCTGCTTAGAATCATCTATGTAACAAAAAACTCAATATACTCAATGTGAAAAGAAAGGCATCAGATTATTCATCGTTTCAATATTTTATATCACATTAGCTCATTGGTAAAATGTGATGTTTTGATAGAAAAAAGAAAAAAGTTACATAGAAAAAAGTTAAACCTACATAGGCTAACATGTTTCATTCGACAGAATCATGGAAAACAAACAAAGAAAACCTGAGAAAGAGAGATTTTGGTAGGTTTGAACTGAATGGAAAAAGTGAAAAAATGTAAAAGAAAAAAGTAAAAATGATCTGAGCAAGAAGTACATTGATAAAGACATTTGACAAATATGCACTCCACGATATTGTTTACCATCTGAACCTTTTAAGAACTATATAAATGATAAAAGATGTACAAAAGAAGTCTGAAAAAAAGCACGTCTAGTCTTATTTCTCATTAATAAGTAAAAGACAAAGACACAAAGACAAAGGATAATAACCTCAGAACTAGTATAGAAAAAATTAATTAATCTTTTTATATATGAATACGATACAATCATAGAAAAATAAAAATTACAGCTTACCCAAAATATTATCTACTAATTTGTATTCTTGTCACCAACATTCATAAAATATATGATAAACACCATAAATAAATAATATTAGTTTATTTTAAGGGAATATATACAAGGATAATAATACTTTGACAATATTTTTTTCGCAACATTTTAACACTATTTACGTGTCATTATGTGATTGGTTTATGTTGGTGTTTATAATTAATGATTCTCCCTGCATCTCACCAAGTTCATCTTGCACTTCCTAATTTTGTTTTAACTCCAACTGTACCCCTACCCTAACTTTACTTATGTTATGTGATTTTCTAAAAATGTTGACTCATCCACTCATAAAATTGAAAGTTTTCCTTAGCCGTGTCTCACTTTAAACCCTACACCCCTGCTTCTTTCTTCTCTCTGCCGCATCTCATGTGAAACCTACCCTTGAGTCTTTCTTCTTTCTCTTCTCTACGGTTCTACCCTCTTCCCTCCTTTTTCACAATTTTTTGAACGTGAATGTTCTTCTTTTCCCTCTGTTCAGTGTTTTGGACACTGTTTTTCGTGTTGGTGCCGAAGCTCTCATCCCTCGTTTCTTCAATCGTTGGTATCGTGGTTGTAGGGTGTCTTTTTCTCGTACATTAACGTGTATGTTAGTTAATTTATTGTGATTTATGGTTGTTCTTTAGTATATGCGGTGGGAAAAAATGATAGAATGTTTGTGCTTATATCTCTGCTTTGATCTGGGCGGGAGTTGCAGGCCAAACCGCACATGGAACTGCGGTTAATGGTTGCCGCACTTAGAAGTGCGGATATGGTTGCGCCGCAGTTGGATCTGCGTGAGATAGTAACCGCAGGTGTTTGCGGTTAGTTTTCTGAGGTGCATGGCCGCTGGCGCACTTGGAAGTGCGGATCTGGGTTTTTCACAGTTGGAATTGCGACTAAGGCCAACCACAGTTCGATTTGCAGCTGTATTTTTCGATTTAGGGTCTCTACGGTTTCGGTCCTGGACTGTGTTATTTTGTTATTAAGTTAGTATATTTTATTTTAAGAATTTTTTGTTTTGTTTGTAAAATTTGATTTTTTTTGTTAGGTTTTAATGTTAAATGAAATGTAATATATTTTTTTCCTTCTTCCTCTTCCACTCTCCACAACACCACCACCACTCTTTTCTTCCTCCTCTATTACTGTCCACACCACAACCACAAAAAACAATATAACAGTGAACTGAAGAACTGAAGGAGTGAAAAATGAAAGTTAGAAAAATAACAGTGAATAACAGTGATATTTAGGGTTTATACCATTTAGGGTTGTTGGAGGTTAGGAAGATTGTTGGTGGTTGAAAAATCATTAAGTAAATAATTAATTTTTCTTTGACTTTTAGTAAATGAGGGCAAAAATGTAAAATGAAAAATGCTGGAGAAATATGTGAGGTGTAGAAAGAACTGCTCTTATAATTATTATTATTGATTATGAAATAATTTTGAACCAATTACAAAATAACACGTAAATGATATGAAAATTTTGTTTAAAAAGAATGTTTTCAAATATATATATATATATATATATATATATATATATAAACGAACCTTTTCCACTAGATAATAGAAAATTACATGTCGCATCATCAAACTTTTCATCCAAGAGCTTCAATTCCAGTGTCAATTCCAAATGCGAATTTTATAAGAAACTAATATAATAGGTTAGGATTTGATATTTTTTTAGTAAAAAAAATAATAGGAAGTATTTTTTACATGTCTCAAATTTTAATTTTAACATATAAACATGAATTTTAAAATAATAAATTAGTTGTTCTTTAATATTTTAAAAATATATAAATAAGGGTCTTTGTGAAATATAATTTCAGTTTGGAAAATGACACTTGAACAACCATTTTTGACAATATTTAAACACGCGCACACGTGTCAAAATCTGAGTGGTCCATTTTCATTTAATTTTTCCAACTGTACCACTCAGATTTTGACACGTGTGCGCGTGTCTAAATGTTGTCAAAAATGGTTGTTCAAGTATCATTTTCCTTTCAGTTTTAACATAGGAATTTTTTTTTTATAAAATGTTATATTTTTTATTAATATCAGACGAAAATAATTTCAAATCTGTCTAGTCATAACTAAATTTGAAAAGACTCCTACCATCATTTTTATTACAAGGTTTTAACTTTCTTTATATCCTTTAGTCACATCACTTTTATATATTTTTTAATTTTAATATATATTTTTTTAAGATTCATATTCTTAGTAATAATTTAATTGATCATATATATATATATATATATATATTGATTGAATTGAGGTGCTTTAAAGAATCTTTCAGAATCCACAGACACTGGGTAGTGTTACTTTGGAACTTTATTTATTCAAATGTAATAGTTCCATTTTAAAATGAGTAATTTCGAGTGCATGTCAGGATAGATTTCTGCTAGTCACATCATTTACATAGTTCTTATTTTCCACATAATTTGGTTAAAATCTTTTATTTGTTGTTGCTTTTTGCTCTGTTTATTGTTTTCAAACTTTGCACACTCTTTCTCTATCCACTCACGTGACTGTACTGTACCATAGGTGACAGAGATTCTTCAGCCTTATTTATTTCTGTGTCAGAAAACAGAAAGTAAAAGAATGAAAATTTTAAAAATAAACTTAAGCATTTTTTAAATAAAAATTATGTTTTTTTGAGATTATTTGCCTTCAAAGGTTTTTTTTTATTGCATTATTTTTATCTAATAAATATATTATTTTATAATATAACATTATCTTAATTAATAATAATATTTTATTAATTATTTAACTTTCATAAATTTTGTAATACCAATTTCATCACATTATAAATGTATATATATCAATAACAAATACAGTTAAAAATATAGTAACTTAAAAACATAATTAACCATGTAATTAATTATGTTTCATTTTGATAAGGATTGTCACCCACTTTCTCACCTAAAGTACCCATAAATGATCATCTTATCCTATCACAGGAGAAAAAAATACATTACACACAAGTAGATTGAATACCACAAGAAAAAAAAAAGCATATCCTTTCATTATTTTAAACAATTAATTACAACAAGTTAATGATCTTATCATAACATATCCTACTACATTTTGGTGACAAAAACATGTAGTAAAGTGTACTATTATATACTTTCTTTATATTTTACACATTCTGCTTATATGGACCATCGTATCCTCAGATAACATTATTGCTACCAACACGATGTTATCATAAGCCTAGTTTAGTTTAGAGTATGCACCTAATGCATTAGATAAATCGACATACATTATTGCTGTTGATTTTATTTTTGCATGGAACTTGTTAACAGATTCATAAACTGAGTCATCAGTGTTAGTGATTCCATCTAAAGCATTCAGGAACTATTTCAAAGGCTTCCTTTGAAATCAATAAGGATATTTTTACCTTTCTCCATAAGTCAAAATCTGCCTCACAATATCTTCTGGTGCAATCATTTGCAAAAAGGATTGTTTTTAAGCATATCAGAATCATACACAATTTAACCAACCCCATTTTTCATCTAGAATATAAGATAAAAGAAGAATCACAAGGCAGAAGCATGACATATATATAGATTCTCATACCAAGAAGATCAAAGAAAGATACATCAACCGGTGAAGCTGCATTCATTTCTTCCTCTGTTCACTATTCAATTAAGACTATGTTATTCAAGTCTTAAGCCTTTAAGTGAAAGAATCTAAATCCCTCAAATTCTAGTTAGTTAGACAGTACCGTAACAGAATTCGATTGGTGAAAAATAAACTTTTCATTTATCTTTCAACCATAATAAACTAGAAACATCATCATTCAACACACCAACAAGACTAAAATCTAGAAACATGCACACAGTTAAATCTGATATAACATTGTCATGGAACCAAGGCGCCATATAACTAGAAACATGTCCATACAGTCAATTGTCATTAATCATACGAAAACACCAGAAAACTAGAAACATGCACATACAGGCTAGGTTTCTAATGCTATTTTGAGTCCAATGGGAAGTGCTATGATCTTGGTCTTGCTTTGTTCAACACAATCGTGAAGTGGACCTGGGAATAATCAAAATCTTACTGAAAGAATATAACTTCAAATGCATCAGGTTCGTTAAAGTCGTGCCAAAGAAATAAGAAACTTGGCACGAATCATTAGATTTTGGAAGCCAATGATGTCAACGAGGAAAGGTCCTTCAAATAATAGCACTGGTTGAAATTGTAATCCAATAACTATGAAGTGGAGAAAAAACAGAAAAAGATATACTTGAACGGCATCGACATTCCGAATTCTTTTACCATGAGAATATCAGAATCGAATATCCAAAAAAAAGTGGCACCCTTTTCTCGATTTGCATAATCCAATAAAACTTATGAATTCAGAGGAAAAAAGAGTATTAAATAATTAAAATTGGAACTCGGAATCATCCCATTGAAGAACCGCAGAGCCTATGTTCTGTTCTCTTTTGAGCTTATCTTTGAGGAACCAATCACAAACCTTGGCTGCATTGAGCTCCTCGATTGGACACCCTTCTTGCTCCGATATCACTCTTAGCAAGTTCAGGGATGATATCTGCACCACAAATAAATAAAACTTGAAGAGTTTAATGAACATGTATTACACTGCAAAAAAACTACTAAAAAGTCATTCTTTATTTATATGGAAAAATAATGGACGAAAGATTGATCGGAGAGATGATATGAGAAGAGAGCTACCGTTAAACGGCATAGAAAGCGTTCATGTGTACTCAAGCCTGATATCTCGACCAAACCAGCTTCTTCCATTGACAAAAACGCCCGTCTCTCACCCTGGTTTTCTCCTGCACTGCATTTCACTTGTGTTCTTCTGTTCAGTGTTTTGGTTTGTGGAATGAAGCATGTTTGAGTTTGGTTAGTGCTTGGAAGCTTTGAAGGGTTAAAGAGAAAGGTTGTTTGAAGAAAAGTGTTACAAGGTAGTAGTGAAATCATTAGTGTTGGTTTGGTTTTTGTGAGAGAACAGAGAGAATGAAGAGTGTTGTGGGAAGGTGCAGAAAGGAAACAGAATATGAGTTGAATTCAGTGTCAAGTTTTGGATTGGGCATTTGGGGCTAAAACATTACAACGCCCCCACACTTATCTGTTCTGAACTTCGCTTTCTATTTATTGAAAATGTATAAAAAATATGAATCTCAAATCTCATTTAATTCAGCTTTATATTTCTAAAAGATTACAACCAAAATGTCATGAATTTGCCACCAAAGCCAGTCTTTCAAGTGTCTACGTTAAAACTTCTAAACAAAAAATAATTTTCCAGTATATTTCACCTATAAACTACTTTCAAAATACGCCTACATTTTGTTTATTTATTAAAAACATTAGTTGGAAATGTTGTTTAAGCAAGCCCTAAAATACACGGGTAGAAAGATAACTTTTTCCATGCTCTTTAATGTATTAAGTAAAATTTATAGAGCCTTCAAAATGACAGAAGTAATGTTAAAAGCGAGTAGGAAGTGATTGATGAATGTATATTGCTGGCATTCTTCATCTGGTAATACGTGGCTCCTGTGCTCACTTTGATCTAAGAAATGAGAAAATCAATTTATAAAAAAAAAGGTGATCGTTAGCCTTTAGTTTTAGACTATGCCACCTAATACACTAGGCAAATTGTTCTGTATGTAAAAAAAACAAACATGGAACCTAAACAATGGTTCCTCAGATCCGCACAAAAATTTCTCTGGGATTTATTTTCAGCGTTGCTGATTCTGTGTAACTTGAAAATTGGAAGTGGGCATGGCAGTGATCCGGGAAATATAGTGACATTAGGGTGGATCACATGCAATTTCATTTTGCATGGAACTTTCTGTTTACAGATTCGTAACTGGGCACACTAAGGACTGCCACAAAATAAAGAAATGATGTCAGTCAAAACTTGGCGTTATTAATCAGTCAAGAGTTTCTTAAAATATGAAAATCATATTACCATCCCCATATGATGCCATGGTCAAAGGTGAGGAAATAATCTTCTGAGAAATTTTGGTGATATCGTTCAACGTGATTTCATCTACGGCCTTCAGGAACTGTTCCAAAGGCTTCCTGAAAAGGTTATTACAATTTACAAAGAATTACATTTCCATTCAAGAATTATAGCTTGTTAATAGAGAATGGTCTTATTACAATTTCTCCACCATTTTAAATATTAAAAAAAATTCCCAAGAACATGGCCGAGTTTACCTTTCTCCGTAAGTCAAAATCTGCCTTCCAATATCCTCTGACGCAATCATCTACAAAAAGGATAATTTTTTAGCATGTAAGATACATAAAAGTCTAAACAACCCCGTCTTTTCATTTAGAATATAACGCAAAAAAGATCACAAGGCAGAAGCATTGCATGATGCTCTAGCCACATAACAGTTTCAGAGGCTTTCCCCGACTTAGACTGGACTGTCATCCCTCCAGAAAATACATTATTTCTAGCTGAAAGAAGGAAATGTGGTAGTTTGGGCAAAGGGTACAATTGACTTCTACCATAACACATTGAACGTGGAAAATATGCCAGATAGAGAATTTGGTTGGAGTTGAATAAGGATAATTGTGAGGTGGGCAAATTGGGGAAGAGAATTTTGAGGTAGACTTGGGAGATTGCTTCATGCAGTTCCTGGGTATGTTTCTCTCTTGATATTCAATGTGTTTTTCCAAAGGATCTTCCTCCGTTTTAAGGATCCAAGCTTACCTTTTTGTTGGATAATAACATTTACTATCTTCAGTTTATATCATTATGCTAGACTAGACTAAAAGAATTTGGAAAAAAACTGATGTCCCTGGAAGGATGCACAAACAATGGAGTCTAAATGAAAGAGGAACAACCAAAGTATTTGGAACATCACAATTATGTAAAGCAGAAAGACAAGATCATACTCTAGATTCCAGATTCATTAGAACAGCAGACTTTGTGGATTTTTTGGCTCGGTCAAGCTGCACCTGTGTAACTGTCATAGCAAGAAGTTCCAGTTTAATTTTGCAAAAATGAAAATTCTTACTAAAATACTTCAGAAACAAGAGAGAAGTAAAACCTTGTCCAGGGGAAGCAATTGCTATTAGTTCTTTGGCTGCTATATCCACAGCCTTTGGCGCAAAGTCAGGGCTCTACATCCACAGATTTGAATGTGTCAAATTAACATACTAAGCAATGGACTATTAACTAATGGTTTAGCTTATTTTGAAGAAATAATTGCCTACTTTTTACAGTTTCCTCAAAGATTTTGGCAAACAAGCAATTATTCCATTTAAAAAAAAAATGATGTCACAAACATGCCCTAAAAGTGATTTTTCTTTTCTGATAATTATTTTAAAGAGGGAAGGAAACAGCTGTAGGCCTAAGAAATTCCCCTAACTGGATAAAGGAAATATATATAATACAGTTCCCCACCCTATTGAAAAGAAAACCCTGTGCTAAAGAGCAGTTAGTTAAAAGAGTTTCTATTTCGGCAGTTCAAGAGGTAAGGAATTAGATTAAATTGAGGGATAATGTAGAAATGGTGGGACTAAGATATTGTTGTCATTTGGGAATTGAGTATTAGTTGGCTCAGTTGTAAAAGGGAAAGAAACACTTTTTAAAAGCAAATACTTGGAAGTAGAATTTTTCTCTCAGGCATTCGTGTAATAATATTAACACCATGTAGAAAGGAACGTCCAGAAACAATTATGATTTTTTGCTTACAGTGCTTGCATAAATGCCAAACAATCCTGTATTATTGAAGATGCTGTTGAATGCAGAAAAGGATTGAATCTGTTGATATTCGTTCAGCACACGAAGATCTGGACACATTTATACATGCAAAACAAGTTAAATATTAGAATTGAGAATGTATGAAAATAAAATGACAAGTGAAGTTCACATCAGACAGATAAGTGTCACTCGTCCAACCGAGAAGTTAATTAAATATAATGGCAAGGTTAAAGCATATAGCTGACCAAACTAAACAGCGAGTAAGACATAGGTAAAACTTACATAGCCTTGAGTGCATCCCTTTTCCAGGGCCCCCTGCTGAAAATGACCCACCGCCTCCCATAAGCATCTGAGTGAAAACATGTTCAATTATTGTGTTCTTCCTTTTTGTACAACAAAAACAAAGATGCAAAACAAAACAAAAGAACAGCATTTCTATCAGACTAGGACACAATGAATACCTGTAAAACAGTCAAAACTATAGCATCTTTCTCTTTATGCCATCCACCAGGCACCTCAAAAGCAAGAGCAACATGTGTACCCTGCCCTTGAAACATATCTTAGCCGGTAAATAACAATGTTTGAAGGGGGATAAATGAAAGGAATGAAATATAAGAAAATGTAAATACGGTTGTATAAATACTTGTACACACCCCTGATTCACCATGACGACGAAAATCACCTCCAACATAGACAGATTTAGGTTCATCAGGACGGGGGACATTTGGTAGATCAGAGAGAAGTGGCTCAGCAATAGATACAAGTTCTTCATGCTCAACCCCAGCTGCTGCAAGTACCATTCTAGGTGCCGTGTAATTCTCCTGATTTTATATATTCCGCAACAATTAGATTCTCAAATAGATAAATAAGGGTGGAAAAGCAGAAAAAGAAAATGGAAAAAAGTTATAAATGTCTCATAAATTAATTAATACTGGAGGATTCATGTAGTATCAGAAAGGATAACAGATCTTACAGCAACAAATTCCTCCAAACTGGGGCCACCCAATCTGTTCAATGCTGCTTCAGGAGCCAAGAGAGGATAAGCCAATGCACCAGAATAACCAGCAGAGTGAATTGCTTCCAAAAGCAAGCCCTGAGGATTGTTGGACAGTTCTCCAAGCTCTGCTTTCACCTTCCGAAGCTGTTTCATTCGATAGAAAGTTCCGCATATCAGCTATCAAAATAAAAAACTATACTTCCAAAATAGGATGGAAAACTTTTATTTAGATTCCTTAGTCAGATAGGATCCAATTGCAAGGCATAAGGCTTACAAAAAATATATAACTTCACATTCAGTATGAGTTAGTATAGTTGGAGCTAAGAAAGGTAGAATATGTTGCCTACCTTTCATACACCTTAGTTTGGCGTGATTAAAGTGTAGCTACAAATATAGAAAAGGTGTTTTATTTTCGTTTGTTTTTTCAAACAACCAAGACAGGGCGCTTAATATTCTCTAAAAGAAGAATGCATGTAATTGTTCATCCATCCTACTATGGACTATAAAACAGAGAAAAAGTTTGTCCATTAGTTGAAGAAGATGACTGAGCTTGCTGACTTAAGAATTACAAGATCAGTAATGAAGAAAAGATAAACATACAAAAATAAATACCTCTTCATTGACCTCCCAGTCCAAGAATGCAGGGTTCCTTACACAGTCAACCAATAGTTCCACCATTTGTGGAACATAGGTTTTCAAGGCATCAAATGTATATCCCATTTGCTCCCGCGAGGCTGATGCTCCTATATTACCACCAATTGCTTCTACTTCCCTTACAATACGAAAGTGACTACGGTTTGTTGTGCTTTTGAAAGCCATTCGCTCCAGCATGTGTGAAGCTCCGCTTGAGAATGGTGTCTCATAGATGGAACCACAGTCAAGATATAACCCAATTGAAGCTGCAGGGTTCTAATTAACATGCGAAATGAAAAACAAAATCAATATGCAAACCAAATACCTCAAGAACACCATTACGTTACAGTGAGTTTCGGCACTGAAATACCAGCAACAAAATAGAAACATGCCCATAAAGCTAAACCTTAATATCATATAGTAACATTGTTATTCATCACGATGCCAAAAAACTATAAACATGCACATACAGTTAAATCCGAGAGGAACATTGTCATTGAACATGCCAATCCGCCAAATAACTTGAAACATACCAGACAGTAATACTTAAAGTAATGTTGTCATCAAACATATCATGACGTCAAATAACTAGAAACACGTACATAGAGTAACATTGTCATTAAACATACCTAAACATCCAAAAAAACTAGACACGTGGAAACAGTTAATTTTACAGTAGCATTGTCATTAATCATATTAATATACCAAGAAAACTAGAACGATGCACATACAGGCGAGGTCTCTGATGCTATTTTAAGTCCATTGGAAAGAGTTGTGATCTTGGTCTTGCTTTGATCAACAGAATCTGGAAGTGGATCTGGGAGAACAACACCACCGAGGGGTATATCCAGAGAAGGAAGAGAACTAGAACGCTCCCCAATAAGCCAGCTAAACAAACCACCTTGGGAAGTCCTTGCAGCTACAGCGGTTGAAGTGGAAGACCTAGTGGATCCCAACTTGCTTCCATGGCCCTAATCACATGGTTTCATTACACAAAATCACACAAACAGCAGCAGCATTCACCAGAAGAAAATAAAATATTCCATTACACCAATGCCACAATTTTTTTTTTCACGAGAATAAAAAATATCAGCTTATAACATGAAAAACAACCTAGGAATTACCAAACCCAGTTGGATGAAAAACAATCCTGCCCACCAAACTCATTTCCCAGAAAATCAACAAAATAACATTTTTTGCCCATCAAAATCAAATTTTGTTACCAGGGTAAGATCCAAAAATCTGGAGGAGGGATTTGAGGTCCTAAACTTATAAAAATTGAGTTCGGGTGGAAAAAAAAAGAGGGGATGATTATGGTATTGATAGTAACCTTGAGATGCCTTCTGAACGAAGAAGCTGCTGCTCTGTACATGGCGAGGAGGGAGGAATAAGAGAATGAATCCCGAAATCAAAATGGTTTTGTTTTCCTTCAACACGGCCAACAAGCAAGCCCTATGAAACTGGGAGACGCACCAAAGAGAATCACTTCAATTTGGAAACAGTCAATTATTTTTATTTTAATCAAAATTAAAATAAGTAACAAGACGAAAAAGGACCGAGCTGGAGTTACTTGGGCTTTTAGAATCCGACCCAGTAAAGTTGGGTCTCACAAGGCCCGAACACTTTAAAGGGAAAATTATGTGAGTATTTCTCTTCCCACATTATCTTAATATTAAAATTGATTTTAATAAATATATTATCTTTCTCTTCAATACACTAATACTTTGTTCACTGGCAGGTTTGGAAGAGATTGGAAGAGAGTGATTGAATAGATTTGAGAGAATTTGAAGGTAAACTTTTTGTTTTATTTGAGTGGATTTAGAGGTAAGTGAGAGTGAATTTGAAAGTAAATTTTTTTAATTTGTCACATCAATCAAATCCTACACTAATTCTCACCAATTTTACTTTTAAATCCACTCTTACTTACTTCTAAATTCACTCAAATAAACAACAAAAAGTTTATCTTCAAATCCTCTGAGATTCATTCAATCACTCTTTTCCAAATCCATTCAAATGAATAAAGCTTAAAAGATTGGACTCCTGTTACCAACTCAAATTGTCCACATAGATTACTAAGATCTATGTTGTGGGGTATGTTATTTTGACATTTTTTTTTTCTACTCACATGAGTTCATTCTTTTTATTAATATAAAATTTTATTTTTTATAGACTATTTTACCTTCAGATGTGAGTTATTGAATGAATCTTAATGTTAGAAAAATATTTTTCATGAATTTTAAAAATAATAATCTTTTTTAGGTCAACTCTCGTGTAACTTTTAAATTTTTTAAAATGGTTGAGTTAGATTTGACATAATTGGCTCAATTGTTCTGTAATAGAAAAAAAAATTGACAAATTGAATATCTTTAAAATGTAATAAACAAAACAAATTTTAATAAGACATTGGTTAGAGACTCATTTACATCTTGGTGTGAAAAAAAGTGTTATCTAATTTATTAACATTTACACAAATAAATTATTACATTTAAATAGGCAACATGTAACTCCAAAAAATACTTTAAACCCTCCAACTTGTTTAATGCAAAAAAATAAAAAAGTAATGAGAAATTTTCTTGATATTTGAGATTTTTTTTAATGAAAATGGTTGAATCAAACAATGAGTAAAGAGAGTAAATTTTCAAACTTAGACCATTATCACCTTTAATTTGTTGATACTTAAGATAAAAATAAGATAAATAATTTTTCTTGATAAAAATAAAACTAAATAATTTTTCATACGATTTGTAACTAGCCTATTCAAACTTATATACAATTTATTTCCATTTTTGTAACATGAGATGAAAGGTCATTGTTGACACTTTATAATATGCTTAAGATTCATACTTCTTTTAAGAATAAAAACGTGAAAGAGTTTCAATTTTCAAACAACTCCAAAAGGCTAATGAATGACATCACAAACGTGGTGGAACCATCCTTGGTTTCTTAGAGAGAAGGAAGCAACGATGCCTCAAAGATTGTTGGTATCATTCAGGAACGGGGAATTAATCAGGTTTACATACGTGGAGGAGATGAAATGCAGAGGGAAGTTCCTGTGAATTTTGAAGTAATAGTTTGAATTTTCCTATGAAAAAATTATAACTTTTGAGGTAACTAAGGTTTTGTTATCTTATTACAGGAGATTAAAAGACATGGTTTGAAAGTTTCACTGGTTGGAATTCCAGAATCTGTTGATAATGATATCCCACTAAGTATGCCTGAATTAACACTTGAAGCCTTATTGAAGCTATTTTGTTGAAAAGACAAAGCCTTATTGAAGCTATTTTGCTGAAAAGACAAAAAGAAATGAAATTAGTGAGAAAGAAATATTATAAGTGATTCCTAAATCTCCGTCATAATTCATCAAGATATTCTAACAGGTGTTTATATCTACGTAATAATAGTTTTTGAACTTATTTATAAATTTGTCACCGCATTTTAAATTATAATTGATATACAAAACTACGTTATAATATGTCTTAAACTTGTTTATAAGTTTGTCATCAATCAATCTATTATGATGGATAATTTTTATCTGTCATAATAGGTCATGATAGAAAGGTATTTTTTCACTGGTGTAACTAATCACCTGGTTAACCATGTTGTACCTGAGTTGAAGAGGCACAACAGGCCATAAATGTTGCTCACGTGGAAGCAGAAAGCACTGAGAATGTCATTGGTGTTGTCAAGCTAATAGGTTGTAACAGTGGTAAGTACCTTTTATATCTCATAATTTACAAGCTTAACTCAGTTATAGAAGATCTGAAAGATGACATGGTAGCTGATGTGGTGCTTGAATATAAAGGGTTATGCAGTTCTTAGTGAAATGAAAATTGATACATAATATGTAATGTGTGCACTGCAGCGGATAATTGAGAATGAGAAAAAGGTTATCATAACTGATCGCATGTGCAGGGTCACTGTCTTTAACCAATCAACCAGGCTTCATCAATCCTAAAGACATTACCAACATTGCACAAACACAACACCAATAGTATACATGGAGTCATAAGGTATATGTTGTTGGATATTTTGCTAGTATTTTTAAGTGATAATTATATAAAGCCGAAAGACTAACTTGTTCGAAATGAACTTTATGTGAGAAAGGTGGTGGAAGATAGGGTAAGTTTGAATCTTTTTTGCAAACAAATTCACATATTAATTAATTAATGAATAAATAATGATACGTTTAACATGCATTCATTTAATATGACTTTTGTAATAGAAAATTTACATATTAATAAATATACACAATATTTACATTTATTTGACAATTTTTGAAATTATAAAAAAATTAATTAAACATTGACACGTTTACATTTATCTGATTGTCATTTAAATCAAATATATGAATTAACAGTCATTTAAATCAAATATAAGAATTTAATATAATTTATTTTGATTTGATTTTAATTTAATATAAAATATGAACTAAGCTAAATCAATATTTTTGAATTAACTTTCGTAATTTCTATTACTTTAAAATTATTAAACATTATTTATAGAAAGACTTGTAAACACTTTTTATTAAACAATTAAAGTGTCAAATAACGAGGCATACTACAATTATTTTATGATTATGATTATATTCATAATTTCAATGATATTTCATATTTATAAATAAATCACACAATCTCAATTAAAAATTATAATATGAATTTATTACTATTACTATACTTTGATGAAATAAATTTTAAAAAATATTTATGTGATGTTTAATATTATCAATAGGTAACAAACTTCTAACCTAATACTGCATTTTAAAAATTAATTAAATAAAAATGTTAAATAATGTAAACATTTAATAAGAGATGTGATTATATATATAATAAAGATTCAGTTTTAGAAATGAGTAATTTCTAACAGCAAGAAAACGTAGGTCTTACAAAATTCAAGGTACGAAACATATTTTATGGTACCAATGAGTGATACTTTACATCATGCGAATTAAAAGATTAATATAAATGCACAACCTACATATATAATGTCTGACCAATCACTACCTCCTTTTCATCCTTATATCGGGAAATACAGTGTTAATAACCTCTTTCAGATTCCTGCAACCAACAACTTTCATCTTTTCTAAACCTTCAGTTCCTAAAGCTTTCTCAGCAACCTTGGGGACTATGCACATTCTGAAACCCAATTTCGCAACGGTATATACCCTTTTATCCATTCTATGAACCTGTACAAGTAAATAACAATGCAAATCACAAAATAAAGAACAGTTTGGAATTAAGGCTTAATGGATAATGGATACATTACAAACAATAACTTCACCGAAATATCATTATTTTGAAATGTTGAGATGACACAGAGGACACCAGGTATGAGATCTAATCTCACAAAAAATTCTTCAGGTATATGCAAGCAGCTTCATGCTACTGAAAGACTCTAAATTTTGAGCTCAATATTGTATTCACTATTCAGCAAAATTGCAAAGAAAGTCTCACCATGCGAAGCTCACCACCGAGGCCAATTTCACCAATGAATGCAATGTCATTTGGAATTGGGATTTCCAAGCAACTGGATAAAGGGAAAAGACAACAAACATAACATATTCAACTAATTCAGATTAAATCTATAACAGTACATTAGAACATATACCCTATGGGAGATAAGATGCACAAGGGCAACAATATATTTAATTCTAAATTGGCTGCAAAATTCACTTCTCCAAACACCCTCCCAATCCTCTGATGACAAATGAAACACAAACCTGCTGCAAATTGCTGCTGCTATAGCAAGATCTCCAGCAGTCTCAGCCAGTGTCAATCCACTAACAACATTCAAAAATACAGCCTGTTGTATAAAGACAAGGATATAGAATACAGTCAATACTGATATCAAAATGAAAATATATCTGCAGCTTATATTATGAGCACCAAACAAGGATATAGAATACAGTCAATACTAATATCTACATTAAAATACTAATATATCACTGGTTTCATAGTTCAGTGATGTGGTGAACGACTGTTTTAAATGATAAGTTAACTTGCAAAAGTTTTGCTAGAAAACATCAGATGACCTTGCAAAAAACAGATAAAGAATCCAGATGTGAATATCTTTTGGTTGTCAATCTTAGCTCATTAAAATTCTAAATTCTCAGAAGGAAAGATGCAGAGAACACCAGTATTGCTTTCTCCCCACAGAAAAAACACAAACTAGGTTCTTGAATGAAATTATTCTATTTTTGCAACCCAAATAATATAAACTAAGTTAATATCAAAGGTACATACTAGTTGGCATTGCCATTCCCATATTTGGTATTAGCTCTGCTAAGTTTATTCAATTAGGATTTAATTCTTTGAAACTTAGAATATTGTTGACATATTCATGAATCAGCTCACATGTTCTCGGAGACGAAGACCAGCTTGCTTTATAAGAACCTGCAGTTTAAGGGAATGTTAGACGTTCAAAAACAGTTTTACTCTTTTAAAAAAAAAATATCATTCACCTTCCATAAAGAATAGAGAAATACTAACAAAACAAGAGGCACTAACTCACGGATA